TTTAGCATATAATATGGGGCTACAAGGCAAATACATAAACACATATTAGTGTGCTATTTATGAAAATGTGACAAGTGTACATTATTTTTCTGGGTTTTCTGTGGGTTTGTTCTCCCCCCCACCCCACCCCATCCCTAGTTTTGGAGGGCCGGGGACAGTCTGACTGGATATCGCGCCGCATAGTAGATGTTGAAATGTCCCCATTTTGAGTGTTGTGCTGGCCTTGTTAATGTTGTAACTTTCTACATTTTCTTTTAGTATTTGGTTGGAATTATTGGCTGGGGGGTCGGGGGGGGGGGGAGAAAATCTTTCTCTGTTGAAAAAAAAAAATAGTTTTTTACTGGTTTAAAAATATTCATTCTTCTTGGTATCGCAATTTCTCCTGGGCATTTTTGTGATATTGCTTTATCTAGCCCAGCAACCTATTTTGTTTTGTTTGGGGTTTTCTTCTTCTTTTCCCTTCTTTTTTTCATCTATACAAGATTTGTTATGCACTACTTTTTGTAACTAGACAGTTTTCAATAGTTGGCAGATTATTCTTTTTTAAAGAAAAAAGGCATGCTTTCTGACTGACATGATCTTTTGCAATACCTCAATTTTGAAATATAGGAAAGAAAATATTTTCTAAGTAAGTTTATTCAGAAAAAATATATATTAATTTAATTCTGTGAGGAAATGATTTAACAGATGGGTAACTTTATTTTTTTCATGCTTATTTGCGTTTTTGAAAATGAAGAAGTTAGAGCTTTATAACTGTATTGAAGATCATAGCTATCCTACCGAAGTCTACCTAATTATGTGAAACAATTAAACATTTATGAAGAAATATCTCTTTTCCGCATACAAACATAGTTGGAAAGAAAGGCGAAAAGGGGGGAAGAGATGATGGAAGTTATGTAAAATGATTAAAATGAGTACAGCAAGGAAATTTAAAAACAAACTGCTTTGGTGCTGGAAGTTGTGAACAGAAGGTGAAAAACCTGTTTTGCCCTTAATTTGTATATTTATAATCAAGCGATTATGCACGACTGACCAGAATTGTGAGAGTTCTTCTGTTTGTATTTTTTAAAGATAATTTTTAGTTTATTAAATTATAACAAGTCCCCTTTTGTTTTGTAAATGAATGTGCCCCACCCCCCACCCCCAGTTGTTAATATCTTACCCCCATTATTCTAAGAGGGTCCTTCCAGAAAAGAAGTTATTTTTTAAAACAAAATGTTCTGAACTGTAACTGGATGAAGGAGCCCCTGGGTACCACAGGCCCACTTGTGGCCTTCCCTTGATGCGAGACTTGAACTAGTCGATTTTCTTTTTGAAAGCAACTTAACCTCGACTATCTGTTGTTATGTGCAATACTGTTTGTACTGTTTGTATAAAAAAGAAAAAGAAAAGAAAAAAGGCATAAATCTTTATTGCAAATTTATTTTCATTGCAAACTTTAGACATTGTGATTCACTAAGATCATTTTTCTACTGTCAAATATGTACCTTTTCTTCATGCTGGTATTTTTTCAATAGTAATGTAGCCTTTGTACTGAGACAGATTTTCATTGTTATTTTTAGAAAGATTTTTTGCTAAGAGAAATTTAAACATTGACATATTTTTCATTTTTATTTCTGATTTTCTTTAAGGAATGCTTTCTCAACCATTAATATAGTTGTTTCTGGGAGAGACTTTCATATCTGGTCAATGTCATTAATATTATTTTGTATTTTTACTTGGAATAAATTAATTTTATGATGCTAATTCTTTAAAAGTTTATTTTTTTCATTTTCAGTTATTTTTGAAGCTAAAAAACCTTTGTAATATTGTTACTAAAGTGTCTAGTTTTTTGAAATGCAAAGCTTTATGTATTAACTTGCTGATGTGGTTTACAATGGTGTGAAAATGGTTGGATATGTGAAATGATTGAAAAACTGTAATGAATAATTGGGCAATAAAATTACAGAATGAAGCAGGAAAATGATGTGATATTTTTTAGAAGCTTTTTCCTTTATCAGAATGATTTAGGAAGACAATAGGGATGTCACAGTACCAGTTCGCTGTCTAGATTTGTACAACACCAATGTTAATAAAACACTGTTGCTGTTGTAATTCACTCCAATCTGTAGAAATAGCAGGTCTACAATCTTGGCTGTTTAGCATCCTACCAATTTGCTTCCTCACCATTACCATGGGCACATCCAGTACTGTTGCACAGTGGGTGCAAGGGTGAAAAATAGAAATGGAACTACGCAGCATTAAGGCTTGGCTAAGTCACTTCCACTTCACCCAACCAACCATCTTTTTTGTTTTTGTTTTTTGAACTATTCCCTTTTAAATCTCTCCCAAGTGGCTTCTGGGTGATCTGCCATGCTTTTATTTATTTATTAAACCCGTCCTTCATGCTGCATTTCCCTGCGCCTCTTTACATGGTAATTCAGAACAAATGGAGGAAATTGTATAGTATCTCCATAATGTTACAGTGTACCATACAGTGTAAGTTTCTCATAGTTAGTGCTATCTAATGCATGTATAGGAACCCTTATTACCTGATCTAAGCACATTTTTTCAAGCTGCTTGTATATTTCTCCCTTTCTTGTGTTAGGCCTCTTATAGCATAAGAACAGCATCCGTTGCTGCTATAAAAAATAACACTGCATCGTTTTTTGTAGTTCATCTCCACCTTTGCCTGTCCTACCATTTACTGCAATACTGGCAAAACTTCTGTGTGGAAGCTGGATACCGTTATCCCTTCCTTTAGATCAATGTTTCTCAGGCCTGGCAACTTGGTGGACTTTAACTCCCAGAATTCTGGAGCTAGCTTGGCTGGGGAATTCTGGAAGTTGAAGTCCCCACATCTTCAAGTTGCCAAATTTGAAGAACCTTGCTTTAGATCCTGCAACTCAAACTGGTGTTACATAAACAGACAACACAATAGCCTTCTCCAGATACATCAGTCGTCAGATTTCATCTGTTTTTATGAGGATTTAAGCTGAATGGAAGCTATCCCTTGATCTCTTGTGGAAATATCTGGAGTTGGCCTTTGTGAGCTTTTTGTAAGTAATGTACAGGCAATTTCAAATAGTAAAATTTAGAGTCTTATCTAGGTTCTATGGTTGGAACATATACAAATTGTAAAAGCATAATACAGTAGAAGTAAAGGGGAAATTTTTCAAATTCCTGCAAGAATGGAATGAGGTGAGTGTGTGCTTACACTCCTGCCTACACACTTGCCTTGTAGGAAGGCAGGGTTAAAAGAAAATTGTATTACAAATATGCAGTTATTACAGATTTCATTATCTTTGTTAGAATAGTACAAAAATACAGTGCTTTACTGGGAGAAAATCTCCTATGTTAATATTTCAGTATTGTGACATCTCTACTTGCAAGATACGAGTGAAAGATTAGTCACAGATTGGGTTTTTTAAACTATTTTTGTTAAACCTGCCTTTTATGTAGTTGCTTTTTACACCAGTTTGTATAATGTCAGCATTCCTTTTTTTCACTTAAAAAGTTCTCTTAATTTCTACTGTTGTAGTATTTCTGTCTTTAACATAGAGTCTGTTCTAATATTATGCCATGATTTACTCCTGAATAGGAGAAGAGCAAGAGCTGTTATGTTATTCTGCACATTTTATACTTATTTAACATTGTTTAGCAACAAATAGATATTCAGGGTGCTAATACAGGAAAATCATTTCTGCTTTTTTTTTTTGCTGGTTTGTTTCTGGATGTTGTTCTGTTGGGGTATAAAGTATTAGGTATTTGTAATTTGCTGTCTAAAATAATGGAGATGAGTGTTCACAGCTAAGATCTCTGTACTTGTTTTTTTTTCCAACTGACTAATTTTCAGTGTACCATATCTTTTATTACATGTTCTCTTTAGACTGGTTTTGCTAGTAACCCTAAAAGGCTTTTACCTTTTATTTTTTACTTTTTTGGCTTGGACTAATGCTTTGTATGGAACTGCAGTACTGTGACTAAACATGAAGCTCCACGCTGCTATTGCTTACAACTGCTTCAACTTTGTAGTTTGGAATTAATTTTTTTTCTGTAATAACTTATTAAATCTAGTTGTATGAAGTATGGAAACTTGTCATCCTTTGAATATTTTTTTAAAAAAAGCAATGGGGAAGATACAATCGAATTTAGAAATTGGACCTTTAAAAAACACACACCTTTGGCTACACGTTACACTTTAACAGAGCACACATTTAAATAGTGTTTTAATTATCGTTTTATGTATCGCCAGAATTCATCCAGAGCATTTGACACCAAAGTGCAGTTGCACAAGTGCAAAAGGCATAGTATTTACTTACTACTGGTAGGATCCTAAGAGATTGTCACCAGTATCTATCAAGCGCAAGATTACAATCATTTTTGTTCCCATTTCTTTGGGTCAGATGAATTGTGTACATTGAGATAAAAAAATCAAGTGTGTTTGTTGGAAGAGGAGGAAGGTGGCATACTGCAATTTTGCAATTGCTGGGAAACATCATTCTGTTCTTCCTCAGCCGTGTGACTTACGTGACTTATGACCGTTGTTCAGAATTACCACCTTTGTAGCCTCCCCAGGATCATGTGATCAAAATTCAGGTGCTTGGCAACTGGTTCATATTGATAACAGTCTCACTGTATCCCGGGGTCACCTGATCCCCTTTTGCGACCTTCTGATAAGCAAAATCAATGGAGAAGCCTGATGCCCTTAACAGCCGGGGAACTAACTTGTCAAAACTGCAGTGATTCACTTCACGGCGGTGGCAAGGAAAGTTGTAAAATGGGGCAGAACTCCTTTAACAAATGTCTCACTCAACAAAAATTTTGGGCTGAATTTGTGGTTGTAAGTTGAGGACTACCCACACTTTTGCCCTTTTCAGTCTTTTCAACACAGCCTGCAATTCTCAGACCAGACACTTTCGCCTGAGGTTTTGCAGTTCCAGCCCAGATTCTAATCCATCAGACTGCAAATCAAATCCAACCGTTATTCACTCTTGACTAATAT